AACTCAGCCACCTGTTAACACAAATAACTACTACACAATCACCTGTTGTTAGCAGCAAACAATCAGCAACCTGTTGAGATTCTTCACTTAACCACTTGTTGAGAGAACAGTCTTACAACCACCTATTATGAGATTACACAACACCTATTATGATTTTATTTACTTCATTACATCGCTACATCTTAGTTTTGGGTAGAGAGTATGTTTACAAGAATGAGTTCTTTTATGTTCTTGTAGATTGAAAGTTCACAAGTAAATCTCTTATAATGGAGCTTCCACTAAGAAAGATATCACATTTCTATTTATATTACAAATCAGAGTTACAAATGTGAAGTGGGTGTCTCTAAAAAATTAGAGGGTGAAACAGGGAATATAGTTTGTTCAGCTTGAGTGATTTCTCTTTTTCTTTGATATTGCTTGCTTCAAAGTGAGACCATTGTCTTCCCTTTATAGGCACACAACAATAGATCCGTTGTAGCTTGCTTATTTTTTAAGCATATGGTTGTACTTTTTATTTTTGTTTTTGTCAACCTTAACAAATGAGGTTCCTTTTGAGTAAGTTGTTAGAAAAGATGACTTTATTCAAGAGGAGGTGAATTGAATATTTTAAAAATTATTTTCAAGATCTTCTATTTTTAAAACTTTTTTAAAAGTCTTTCCAAGGAAGTATATTGATTCAACTGATATAGGATAGGATATTGAGATTGATTTCTATATTTAAGAACATTCCATGAATAAAACCTATATAATATGCAAGAATTCAAATAGAATGGACTAAACACATTCTCAATCAATATAAGCAAGAAATACAAATAAGAAGTGTAGGGATAGAGAAAAATCAAACACAAGATTTATACTAGTTCAACCACTTCCATTATGATCTACATCCATTCTCCAATCAACTTGATTGTGATTTTTTGCTATCTTTAGATTTAGAGTATTACAATCACATCCACATATAATAAACTCCTAAAATTCTATAGATACACCAATTTCTTGAACCCCAAGAAATGTCCCATGTAGTCACCCACTACACAAACTCCTAATCCTGAGAAGTTGGCTTAAGAATATTATTCAAGAGACTTTTAGAACAAATTCATATGGATACAAAATCAATCAAATAGGCGAATCAATACTAGAGTAGTTTAGCCTTTCTCTTAAGTTGGAATTGTTCACAAAGGATCAAAGGTTTCAGAGAATCTTTTTCGCAAACATTATCACAAAGATACAAAATTTTCAGTTTTAGAATGTTTGTCCAAAAACCGATATTTAAAGAAATTTCTATTTGAAATAATCGATTATTTATATAGATAATCAATTATTTTATTCTTGGTAAATTTAGAAACTAGTTAAGAACATTTTAATCTATTATTTACTATGATAATCAATCATTATTGAGTATTGACTCTGAAATAATTGATCATTATAGTGAGTTTCTTATAATGAGAAAAATATAGTAAATAATCGATTATTCTAAGTGGATAATCGATTATTTTGAGTGACAAACTCAAATTCTTGATTTTTCAAGTTTAAAACCAATTTCAAAATCTTTTCATCATTAATCAATATCTAATAAGAGATATGTGACTAAATTACTCATAATGCACAAAACAAACATGCATACCAAAGCATAAAAACAAATCAATGCTATTTGCACTTTCTTAACTATGAGAGACATTATTTCTAATCATCAAAATATACTAAGTCTTATCATAGCATGGTCAACATAAGTCTTCACTTCAAGCCTTTTGTACCAGGTCTTCAATACAAGTCTTTTGAGGAACATTATTTCAATTGAAGGCTTTTAATAAACAACTTAAAACAATAGTCTTTTGAACCAGGTTTCCAAGACAAGCCTCATGAGAAGAAATATTTTACTTGGAGCATTTTGATTAGCAACTTGGAATACTCATTTACTTGCTTGAGATAAACACTTTTGTTTTTGTGCTAATTAAAAATCCTTGATAGATTATGAATATTATTTTAGGATGTCATATGGATGTCTTGTGAATCTCTTCAAGAAAATATTGAGTCATGTAGTTTTCTAATCAATCTTATTCTTGTTAAAACACTTGAACAAAATTATTAGCACACAGATGAAAACTCTTCTTTTTATAAAATTTGAGACTAAGAATTTGTCATTATTAAAATCACATTCGGGCAACATTCAACAAGTATTATTTTGGTTCTATTTGATGTGTTTGGAGAACTTGTTGCAATTTCCTTAGACAATTTTTTTTTGGGTGCCATATTATCATTAATTGTTAAGTCTCTAGTTCTTGAAACACACTTCTACTTGCATAACATTTTCAACATACAAACCATATTTCACATCTTCTCTACTTTAAATAAACAACTGAAGCTCACATATAACAAAGTTCATCATCATCTTGAAAAATACTAATACATTTTCTTCTCTATAATAAACATAACAATCAAACAATCAAAAGGAGGAAAACTTCATATAATCATCAAAGGAGTAAACTAGAAATATAACTTAACTCATACTTCATTTATTAGGGCTAATAGTCTTTATAAACCACCATGCACAATTATTTGTTGTGATGAGGGAATGTGAAGAACATTCCATGCAATAACTTAGACAAAAATATCAATCGAACCAACCTTATAATTAACATTTAGTTATTGAAAAATACCTTAAACCTTTCTATGTGAATAGAATTTTATTAAAAAAAAACATCACCAAATATCTCATATCCATCAATTAGTAAGTTACAACTACACCATTATTTATCTTCAAAATGAATGATACACATATTTTTGGACATGAATACAAAAATAAACAAGGGCTTTGTTAGATCAAAGGACGATCGTAAGATAATTTTTTTTCAAATCATACTATAAGACATATTAAAATAGATGATTGGTTATTATCACGTGTAGTCTTTCAAAAAAATCACTTCGTATGTATAAGACGAATGCATTTAATATATATCATTTATTATGTTTGATAACCTAATAGTCTTTGTCTACGATATTCCTTGACAGATCAAAAAGAATAAAAGCTTCATCAATACTCGCACCTTTGAAAGGAACAAAGACATACTTTTTGTTAGATAAAGGACAAGAAAATTTCTTGAAGTATAGGAAGTTTTAGAAAAAAGTCATTTTTGAATGCCATATGCAATAGTTCCTTCCGTTTGGTACCTTGAAGGTGATAAGTATCCTCCTTGATCAAATAAGAAGTGACAATTTGGTGAAACACATTTAATGCACCAATGGATACATGTCTCTATAAGGAGGGAAGATGAAAATAGGCGAAGCAACTTTATGAGAGATGCTCAAGGATTTTTAATAGTATCTTGATGAAAGACATATATAAAGAAGCTTGAAGTCTCAAAATGACAAAGAATAACAAATGTAAAAAATTCATTCATTATTTCTATAAAAGCTCTAAACTTAATTTGGTTGTATCACATCTTAAAAGTAAGATGAAACAACAAGTGATTTTCTAACTTTAACTTTGCCTTATTGCTTGAAGCCTGAAAAAGACTTTGTCATAAAAAATACTTGGTTGTTAAAGCCTAGATAGATTTTATTGTTCAAAAAATACTTGGGTAGTTACTTGAAGAGAAAAATCAAATAATATTTAGGTTGAGTTAAAAGTGTCTTGTGAAAGAATACTTATATATCTTTGTAAAAGATAGTGAAATGTGATCAGGTTAATTAAGAATGAACGTAATCTCGGTGGTTGAGATGAACCAGTATAAAAATACTGTGTATTCTTTGCTCTTAACTCTTCATTTGCACTCTTAATGTCTTGATACTATTTCACTATTTTAAAAAATTGTTGAGTTATTGATTGACATTATTCAACCTCCTTGTCTTTCGTTTCTCCACAGACTTGCTCATGAAAAAAAAAGGATACTATAATGGTTGAAACAACCAATTCATATAGAAATTCCCAAACTTGGAATGAGAGTATTTTTAGAGAATACCAACATATGTCATCAACAAATTTTGCATATTCAATAGTAAATACATTTCCAGGGATCTCTTGTAACAACATGATGAAAATAATGTACAGGAATGCATGAAATTGTAGACTAAAATTTTTTGTTGACATGAATACATCTCCCTAGCAAAACACTTCACTATAAAAGAACAACTTATCGCAGAACACCAATTATTGTAAAATTTTCCACCTATATTCAACACCGAAATAAAACCACAACAACACTTTATTGCTTTTCCATTTCGTCACACCTAAATGGGACCAATAAATGAGCAATTTGACACACACTAATTACACCTTGATTTTGTTGCATTTACAAAAGAAGAGAGCATAAACCTTTGAAGCCAAGTTAAAGGTGATAGCAAAGTCCCATATAGGTAGATACAACTCCAAACACATAGGGTCCAACCTAAAGGAGAATATGCAAATGATGTCTAACAAGAATATCTTCAAAACGTCATACAAGTCCAAAACGTTGTTGTTTTGTTTCTTTAAAGGGAGATGGATGAGGTGGTGTTGTAACTCGATTCTCACAACCTCAAACACACAGAATCTTATTGAACTCTTCATGAGTTTCAAGCTAATTATCTTCTTCTGAAAGTCCTTAGCCAATATTAAAGGCCCCTTAACCGATCCCTCAACCAAAAAAATCTATATAACTTATAGAGAATAAATCCTCTTTTAAAAAATTCTCAAACCTTAATACAATTAAGTGTTAATAGATTTTATCATACACAAATGCGACAATTTTTTTTTATAAAATTATTATTTACAAAGATGAATAAATAAATTAATAATATATTTTTATGAAGCAAGCATCAAAATACTATATACATTAAGCTTATCGATAGAGACATTAAGTATACCTTTCATATTTATCATTTGTTATTAAAATAATATATCTAACGGTGTACACTTTGATCTACCAAAACACTACTTAAAAGCTCATCCACCATGGATTTTACTATATAAAATAAATATTTATTCTTAAAATACTGGTTTATCTTATTTATGAACTTGTAGATAAAACCCTGAGATATTTCGAGCACCGGGGTTTAGGCTTAGCGTTACAACTCACAAGTGTTGCTGCATCCTTAGAGCAGAGCACTGAGTATCTTCTTCTTCTGTTGTTTGCAAAACATCTTTTCAGCTTTTGTGTGTGTACATCAAGGAAACATTTTTTTAACCTAGTTCTTCTTGTTATTGTTGTTGGGTGTTGGTGATAGATTCCATGGAGCCTTCACTCCTACTTTCTTCACCTTCATCCTCCACCCCTTTACCCTTCTTCATCTCAAACAACCTCCCTTTCCATCCAAAACCCAATCTTTCCGTCAAATTCAATTGCTCCCTCCAAAAGTCCCAATTTTGGGGCAGAAACTTGAGTTGGGTCTCGTCACAATCGCACGAAAGAGCAAAATCGGGTGTGCTGAGGCCCACGATAACGGCAGCGGTGAAGAGGAGGAAGGAGCTTCCCTTCGACAACGTGATTCAGAGGGACAAGAAGCTCAAATTCGTCCTCAAGGTAAGGAAGATTCTTGTGACTCAACCAGATAGGATTATGTCGCTTAAGCAACTTGGTAAGTTCAAAAGGGATTTAGGTCTTGATAAAAAGAGGAGGCTTATTGCCATATTGAAGAAATTCCCTGCAGTGTTTGAGATTATGGAAGAAGGGGTTTACTCTCTCAAATTCAAAATGACCAATGAAGCTGAAAGGCTCTATTTTGAGGAATTGAGGGTTAGGAATGAAATGGAGGAGTTGGTTGTTGTGAAGCTTAGGAAGTTGTTGATGATGTCACTTGAAAAACGGATTTTGTTGGAGAAGATTGCACATCTCAAGACTGATTTGGGTCTGCCACTAGAATTTCGTGACACAATTTGTCATAGGTACCCACAGTTCTTCAAAGTGGTGGCAACTCAGCGTGGCCCTGCTTTGGAATTGACTCATTGGGATCCTGAGCTAGCCGTGTCGGCTGCTGAGTTGTCGGCGGAGGAGAATCGGATTAGGGAAATGGAGGAGCAGAATTTGATCATAGACAGGCCTCCTAGGTTCAATAGGGTGAAGCTTCCTAAGGGGCTTAATCTTTCCAAGGGTGAGATGAGGAAGATTATGCAATTCAGGGATTTGCCTTATATTTCGCCTTACTCGGATTTCTCAGGACTCAGGCCAGGGTCTAGGGAGAAGGAGAAGCATGCTTGTGGAGTTGTTCATGAGATCTTGAGTCTCACACTTGAGAAGCGAACGCTTGTGGATCATCTCACACATTTTAGAGAGGAGTTTAGATTCTCTCAGCAGCTGAGGGGGATGTTGATAAGGCATCCTGATATGTTTTATGTCTCCCTCAAAGGAGATAGGGATTCTGTGTTTTTGAGGGAAGGTTATCGAGATTCTCAGTTGGTGGAGAAGGACAGGTTGTTGCTTATAAAGGAAAAGCTTCGTTCCCTTGTTAATGTTCCTCGGTTTCGCGGGGGAGCTGGTCGCAGGGTAGTTGAAGATAGCATGAGAGAAAGTGATAGCAGAGAAGATGAAAGTGGTGGAGAGGAAGAAGATTGGTCAGAAGTTGATAACTTAATGAGTGATGCTGGGTTTGATGACTCTGGTGATGATGATGATGATGTTAATGACTGGAGTGATGAAGATGATGACGATTTGCCGCCGGATTTTGATGAGGATGCTGAAATGTTGGAGATTGGACAAGGAAAGACTGTTAAACAAGTTGAAGAGTCAAGACAGAAGGATGAAAAGGTTCTTGTTCCTGTATTTCCTGATGGCCGTCCAAGAGAACAATGGTGATCTTTGCAAGAGCTTCCAAGCTTGGAGTTTTTCGTGCAAGAAAGCATCTGACTTCAAATTTTGAGTTTGTACTGGCTGATTTGTGATGGGTGCTTTACACAATGCTTGTTGAATTCACCTTCTTTATTTTGACTTGTTTGATCCTCTTTTTTAAGGTTGTGACAAGATTTGTGTAGAAGGTTGAATTTCTGTTGCAAGCTCTGCAGATTAGCAAGTTAACAAATCAATTTATAGTGGCGGATATACATTTCTTGGCCTTAGTTAAGTCCCTCCCTGATCACTTTAGCATACTTGTTCAAAATACCTGAATCAATGATCCCTCATCATGATAGTTTCCATCAGACATGTTTAATTACATAGTTGTCTAAAAGCATGTTAAAATACAAGCTTATAAGAGTTTTTAAAAGCTTATTAACATTACAATACATTGACTTCTAATTATTATTATATCATCACCACTTTGTGAAGCTACTTTATGACTGATTCTCTTGGGAAGTATAGTACCTCAATTTGATCAGCTATCCCATCTTATGACAATGTGAGCTGCATTATGTAATAAATTGTTCTCTTGAAATTATGCATCCGAAGAGTTTCTACTAATACCTTAAGGCTTAAGCTGTTTATAATTTCATTGTTTTCTGGAATCTCGAGTGGAATAATCTGACAGTAGGAGATTGGAAATATTACATATATGAAACACTTGTAGATGACTTGGGCTTTATTTTGGAATTATGTCCATCACACAAGAAGCTGAATTATTAAAATTGTTCCTCATTAAGGTTTTATTTTAAGTTGTCTGTCTTATGGTTAGGCCTGAGCACGGGTTGGGTTCGGGTCAAAAATATTTAGCCTAATCCAAACCGACCAAAAAAAAATTTAACCCATTTTCGACTGTAACAGTGTTTCGGGTTTATCGGGTTCAGGTTTGTCGGGTCTCGGATTAATTGGGTCGGTTTAGTCGGATTGGGTCATATTGGGTCCTATTTTTATTTGTTATTTTTTTCAAAATCTAAACAATAAAAAAAGATAACAACAATGGAGGAGAGAGGGATGGCGAAGCCACTGCAGTAGGGGACAACGCGGGAGTCGTCGCAGTTGGAGACGATGATTTTGTCCCGCGTGATGACAGTGATGACCGCGGTGGATCCGACAGCGTCGTAGTGAGGAGTACAAAACTCGCAGCAGCAAGCGTAGGTGTGTTCGTTCTGGCTGCAATGATGAACCTCGTCGTCCATGCAAGCGAAACCGTTCCCCTATGATAGGGTTCATTTGAGAGACGTCATTCGTCGGAGCCTCGCGGTCTAGCGCGCGAAGGCTTCACTTAGCGTGGGCGAGGAGGACGTGGTGGTTGGGTGCTGCAGGGGGATGATCCTGACGGGACAGGTAGCGGGAGCGGCGGTTAGGGTTTCTAGTTTGTGAGCAGAAGAGAAGGTTTCGCGGAGCAGGCGCTTAGGGTTTTTAGTTTTACTCTCGCAGTGCTAGCTTTACAAGAATAAATAACATACCTTTTAATTGTTTTGGGTTGGTCGGGTATGGATACCGACGGGTTCAAATATTTTAACTCGAACCCGACCAACATAACCCATTACAAATCGAGTCTAACAATCCGCAAAACTGAAAAAACCAAAAATAACCGGCCGAACTAAGAAACTCACCGCGGAAACTTTCGATTTCGGTCGGGGCGAAATTTTCTGCTCACGCCTACTTATGGCTATAAACTATGACACATTGACACATATATAGAATAGCGTGTTGAACACTTATCGGACACATGTCGTCACGAGTAGAAAATGTCCTTTCGGCTTGAACACCTCCATGACATGTTTTGGTTGTGAATTAAGAGATGGAGTTGATACTTACTTTTAGTTTTACTTTTTAAGTTATATGTAATGTAATGTAAACTTGAATTTTAATATTATAATAATAATAATTATAGGTTTAGTTGAAAATAACTTGGACACCTGTTTCATTTTTATTTAAAATATGAGTTAAATCATATTAGTTTGATGGATTTTCAATTAAATTAGTAAATGAATTTTTATTTTTAATATTGTCGGTAAATGAATATCATATTTTAAATTTATTGTTCTAATTTGATAATATGAATGAGAAAATGTCGATGCATGAAAGGTTATATGTGAAAAAATGTTATTTAAGATAACATGAATTAGAAAATTTAAAATGTTTTTTGAATATACTTTTCTTTATTCAAATCTTATCATTTATGTTAAATTTTTAATTAATTTTATTATTATATAAAAAAAAAAAAACCATGTCCTTTTAAAGCTCTTCAAATTCTTCTAAATTTTAGAAATTCTTACTATATAAACCTATTAAAATTTAAATTATAAAAATCTAAACCCACGGACTCAAGTGGATTCTTAAATATCAACAATGTCATATACTAATCACATGTTCATATACTTAATTATTAACCAAATAAGGTAAAAAGAAAATTGAAATAATGTACCTTAATTTTCATATAAAAATGTTTATAATATATTTTCTTTACCATCGGTTTTGCTTTTACTTTCATAAATGTTAAATAATAATAATAGTATATAAATGTTATTATAATAATAATAATTTTAGTATTTATAATGACAAGAATTAAATATATTTTTATCTTTCAAATTTGATGTAAATTTTTTCTTATCATGTGCTTAAAAGACATGATTATTTGTGAATTGTATCATACATTATATTAGTATGTAAATACAATTTTAAGGAAAATATATTTGTACAATTGTACAACTATCTAAAAGAGAGGAGAAAAAAACAGAAGATAAAGTTAAAATATAATAAATTATGTAACAGAGAGATAGATAAAAAATTAATATTTTCTCATTGTTATATGAATTGTAAGTGTATCGCAACCCTAATTTTAATTCATTTTTGATTAAATTTGATTTGAGTTATTCATTTTTTTTTTGTTAATTTTACTTATAAATAATAATAATAAAAAGAGAAACGGTGAATGGCACAAATCTAAACATATATACTATACCAGTAAAGCAACATGTAATAGGATATATTTAGATGCATGCCACACTATTAATAAATTATGAAATAAACTATTTTAACTTTTTTGAGAATATTTTATTTTTTCTATACAAATTATAAGAATTAAAATAAAAATTAGAAGAGCAAACCTATATATTTCACAAAGAATACCATGTTGGTAGAATGACTACATTGAACTCAAATTCCTCATACAAGGTTTTGGTTCAAGTTTGCAAGTAGAAAAAATGTAGTTGAAAAGGAAAATTCTTTTAAAAATGATCAGTAATGTTGTCCGAAATTAATAATCTATAAAACTGGTATGTAATTTGCACTTTGGTGACCAAAACAAAGAATAAAACCACATTTACCATTTTTATTATACGAATAAATAATCTTGGAATGTACAGTTAGGAAAGCTGAAATTGTATTTATATTGCGATGAGTGCAATTACCGTTGAATGTAACTAACCCGTCCACCCCATTGTCCATTTCTTTCGCCTTTTGGTTTTGATTTTGGATGTTTTTCTCTTCTCCCACGTATCAGCCATTGTTTTCATTTTCCCAATCTGGGTTTCCTTCTTCAGCATGCATTGCATTTCACTTAGCTAAGCTCTTCATTTGATCCAGGTTGTGCCTCAATGACATTGGAATTTCAGTGTTGTTGTTAACTGAACCAACAAAACAGGATTTCCTTTTTTTTTTTTTTATTCTTTCTTTTTTTGTTGATTGAGATCTTCCTACATTGGAGTGGAAGAGTTAAGCATATGACAATGAGGACAAAGCAAATTTTTTTTTGGTGTGCATGGGTTTTTCTTTGGGGGTCTTGTGTGGCCAGATTTGTGGTGGAAAAGAACAATTTGAAAATCACTTCTCCGAAATCATTGAGAGGTATATATGAATGTGCAATTGGAAATTTTGGGGTTCCCAAGTATGGAGGAACCATGATTGGCTCTGTGTTGTACCCCAAGTCCAATCGGAATGGATGTAAAAGCTTTGATTCCTCGTTGGGTTCCAAGCCAGGAACATTCCCTACCTTTGTTCTAATTGATCGGGGAGGTTAGCTACCTCTTAGTCCTTTGAATACTCTTCAGTTTTTGAATATGCCAACAAAGGAAAAAAGTATAAGATACAACTTTCGATGGGTTTCATTAAGTGCTTTCAGTATGATTCTTCCATCAGAATTAGTGTTTCATTTTGAAAAATTACATTGATCTTTAATGCAAATTTTATGGAATGAAATTCCAATTTTGATAGGAGAATTTTGCTAAAAGAATATGTGAAACTATCTTTGGTGGTTAAAGTTTTTATACATGGGCTTTTATTAGGAGGGTAACAATCAGGGATAATGGGGTGTGTGCATTTTTTTCTCTCTTTTTGGTATACAGTTCCATGGTGTGTTTTAGTTATGGGAGTTTTGAATCTTCTGAGAATTGCATTGCACTTTATTACATGACTTAGTTGATATGGTGATAATGTTAAGAGGAGCCTTTATTCCCTTCCCTTGCCTATATGCGTAGATCTCCAATGTAACAACAAGGAAAATTAAAAAAAAAATCTTAATCAATTGAATTGGTGTCTGTCTTAGAAATATTCTGTTTTCAGTTGGTATCACAAATTTAGAAAGGTCCTCTCATATGATGTAAAGTTCAAGGGAACTTCTTGTCCTATATTTTGGTAAATTTTGGTACCTTTTATTCATCACATTATTGTGTGGTGATTGGCGCCAAATTGTTGACATCATTGGTTTCTAGAAATATTCCAATAATAAGGCTCTCAAGTTTGTAAATTTTCTTTTTGTCATTTGGATAGATTGCTTCTTCACTTTAAAGGCGTGGAATGCACAAAAAGGTGGAGCAGCAGCTATTCTTGTTGCAGATGATAGGGTAGAACCATTGATCACCATGGATACTCCTGAAGAAGGGAATGGTGCAAATAATGATGATTACATCGAGAAGATCAGCATTCCTTCTGCCCTTATCAGCAAATCACTAGGGGATAACATCAAGAGGGCTCTCTCTGATGGGGCCATGGTTAACGTAAATCTTGATTGGAGAGAGGCTCTTCCACACCCTGATGAGAGAGTTGAGTATGAGTTTTGGACAAGTAGCAATGATGAGTGTGGACCAAAGTGTGAAAGTGAAATTAATTTTGTCCAGAGTTTCAAAGGGTCAGCTCAATTACTTGAGCAGAAAGGGTTTGCAAAGTTCACCCCTCACTATATAACTTGGTATTGTCCAGAAGCATTTATATTAAGCCAACAGTGCAAGTCCCAGTGCATAAATAATGGGAGATACTGTGCTCCAGATCCTGAGCTAGATTTCAGCAGAGGGTACAATGGTAGAGATGTTGTTATCCAAAATTTACGTCAAGCATGCTTCTTTAAAGTGGCAAATGAAAGTGGAAAACCTTGGCAATGGTGGGACTATGTCACTGACTTTTCGATCCGCTGTCCAATGAGAGAGAATAAGTACACTGAAGAATGCTCAGATCAAGTTATTAAATCTCTTGGTATGTTGGATACTGCATGTTCCTTTGCATACACTTTGCATTTCTTTGCCTTTTGATTTTGAGTATCGGGCAAAACCTTTCCAATCTATGTAATTATTGATTTTAGTTTTCTTGTCAATGCTTCAAGAAGTTTCAGTTTTTTCAAATACTGGAGCTTTTATACATATGTGGAACAAAACAAATCTGTATCTTCATTATACAAATATCGTTGCCATTATCCTCAAAATCAACACAAAAATCAAGTCATAGCTATAGTCTTATTTATCTTTTGGCATGAACTTAATTAAACTTCTTATTTGTTGTTATCCCAAATTTCTGGGAAAATGTTTCTCTCTTTTTTTTTTTTTTTTTCACGTTATTAAGTTGGGATATGCTGCATGCCTGTTTACTCATTGCTCATACACTTTACAGGTGCTGATTTGAAAAAAGTTAAAGACTGTGTTGGAGATCCTACGGCAAATGTCGACAACCCTGTTCTTAATGCTGAGCAGGATGCACAGGTTGGTCTTACAGGAGGAGAACTTCTGATGGCATTATTCTAGATTGTTCTTGTTCTTTAATTAGATCATTTTGTTTTATGATTTTTGGTTTCAGATTGGCAACGGCGATCGTGGTGATGTTACTATACTACCTACTCTTATTATAAACAACAGACAATACAGAGGTCTGAGACAACCATTCTGGATATCTTGATGGCTGTCTTACCTTGTTCTGTTGTATAATTTTTTTTTTTTTTAAAACTGCTTTTAGGTAAGCTGTCAAGAGCAGCAGTACTCAAGGCAATCTGTTCAGGTTTCCAAGAGACCACTGAGCCATCAATTTGTTTAGCCCCAGGTTCTTTTTTCATTTCTTCTTTTCTACCCCTACCTCCCAAACATCCATGGAGAAGAACCAATAGATTAAATCTGACATACCTACATAGTTGTTGGATAAAAGAATTGATATAAGATGCCATTGATTGTTGTTTGCAGACATGGAAACAAATGAGTGTTTGCAAAACAATGGTGGTTGTTGGCAGGACAAAGCTGCTAACATTACTGCATGCAGGGTATTTGGTTAACTCAATCCTGTCGGCCATATTTTTGTCAAATATTTATATCACTGTACTTTAATACATGTGGGGTCAGGCTCTTCTGGTTTTAATCGCTTTCCTAATTATAGGACACTTTCAGAGGAAGAGTATGTGAATGCCCTACTGTACAAAATGTACCATTTATTGGTGATGGATATACTCATTGTGAAGGTAAATTAGTTTCTTTAATTTAGATAAATCGCTTCATCCCTATGCTATAAATTAACTATAGCATATTTGAATTTCTAAGCAGCTACAGGCTCCTTGAGGTGTGCAATCAACAATGGAGGTTGTTGGAAGGAAACCCAAGGTAGCAGGTCTTTCTCTGCTTGTATTGTAAGTAATCCTCTGCATCCTCTTTTATATGACCTTGCTTGTGTGCTCTTTTTCTTTCTCTTTTATTGTTGTTATATGATTCCTGTTTCCTAAATGATTATGAAGGATGACCACACCAAAGGTTGCAAGTGTCCACCTGGATTCAGGGGTGATGGATTCCACTCCTGTAAAGGTACTTTAATGTCTAAAAGTTGTTTGAGCTGTTCTAATATAAATAATTATAGATCTTCTTACAACATCTTCCTGTAATTCCAACTTAATGAAGAAAGTGTTGAATATTTTTTATGTTTCCAAGATATTAAACATATTTACTTTTTGCTTAATACTTTATTAGGTATAGGAGAATTAATAGGAGGTTAATGTATGAGGAAATAACATTATTCCTCTAGTACCATCCTTTGAATGAAAAAGACAAATACATCAGCATTTACTTATCTTAGTTAACTGTTTCAGAATGATTGAATGTGATCCTATAGTAAATAGTCATGCTGTTAGCTATTCTGCAAATCTGAAAGGTTTTTTCTCTTAATATTTCTTGTTTTGATTATATTGTAGATGTGGATGAGTGCAAAGAAAAAACGGCTTGCCAGTGCCCAGAGTGCCAATGCAAAAATACCTGGGGAAGTTATGAATGCACATGCAATGATGGTTTGTTCTACACGCGAGAAAATGACATGTGTATTGGTGAGTTTTTTTTTTTTTTTTTTTTAAAAGCTTTTGTAACTCTTTGTATGCCATTTTGTAACTCATTAAAATTTGATTGATGATTCTCCATGCATGACTTTGCACTGGTCACTCAATAATGCTCAATTTGGCATTTCATTTCTACTTATTCTATATGTAATTTCTTTAAGGTTTCTAAATTTTTTTCCAAGTTATTTCTAATTATCAATGTTATGTTCTTTGAATAGCTGTTCAGACTTGAAAGAAAAAAAATTTATTCAATTTTAACTCTTGTCATATCTTACAAATATGTAGGTAAATATGCTGCGACAGCGTCTGGTGGGGGTATTGTTTGGTTGGTTATTCTGATCTTGGCTATTGCTGGTGCTGGGGGATATGCATTTTACAAGTACAGAATCCGGGTAAAATTCTTGCTGATTTGATTGTCCTTTAACAGTGTGACTTTGACAAAAATTTCCTTAAGGCATATATATTTAGATAAAAGAGGCATTTATGTTAATTTGAATAATTTCAATTTTTATAGCATTTAAAATATAAAAAATCCTTTTTACCAATGTTGAAGTAGCATGCAGCTCGCTGTATTGTCAAAAGACTTCCGATTAGAGTCAGGAACGATGAGTTTCCTTGATACACCTAGTTTAAGACAATATTGTTACACTACAATGCTCGATGTGTCATGTCAACAAACCATGGTTAATACCAAAAAGATCAACATAGGAATTAAAATAAACTAATATTTCGAAGTAAAATATTTTAAAACAGATGAAATATCTCCTGAATTGGAATTTGATTCAAATGACTATTTTTCTTTTGGCATTTTTCCCCCCTGATATTATAGTTGTTATTATATAAAGGTACTATATTCAATTGACATCCTATACTCGTTTAGTTTGAAAGAAACATTAATTTTCTGCAGAAATATATGGACTCCGAGATAAGGGCAATTATGGCCCAATACATGCCCTTGGATAATCAACCGGAGGTTTCTAGTCAAGCTCATGAAGATGTCTAGAAGATCTGGGAATGCCAATTCTATGAAAAGATGAATTTGATATATGGGACATCCTCTACAGTTTAGTTATTGACACGGAGACAAGCTGTTTAACCCGAGGCTTCTAGCATCAGGCTTAGTTAGTGTCATCCTTACCCCTCAAGTCTTTTTCTTTCCATTTCTTTTCCTTATTTTGTTATCTTTTTCTTCCCTCAAAGTGGATGGCTTGTTTTTCTTAGGAAGTATCAACATAGAGTGGAAGTCGTGTTCTTTTACTAATTTAGGCCACTTGAAGTTGGCACCACATTTCTATTCAATTGGGGACGTTAGATATGGCATATGGAAGAGACATATTTTTGTAGAAACTATAAACTTTGCAAGCTTTTAGTATTATTTTTATACCAGTTTGTAAATTTTATGAATAATATATATCTGTAGTTTGTCACTGCCGATGAACATACTAAATTAATGCCAAATCTCTCAGGAGTCAGGACCAAACTTAAACTTTCAACAAAGATCTAACCTGTTAATGGAAACTGTAATCTATCAGGCAAGGGTTTGTCTCCCCCAAGACATGTGATAATGATAGATATCCATTAATAGTTAGGTGTCTGTTAGTGAGGGAGTTGGTTAGTTAGGTTCATTGGACGGGGTAAGATAGTAGAATAAACAAGGTATATTGCTCTAAATAAAGAGGGGAGATTGAGAGAGAAATGATCTTATCATTTGAGAAATAATTAGACTCTTAGAGAGTGGGTAGAGTCCTGGTCTCTCAAATATTCAGGGAAATCATTCAGTTTTGTATCTTCTAACTCTAGCCTAAGGCTTTTACTACATTGCATTACATAACAATTGGGATTAATAAACTTTTGGGATGTATGGATTGAAGGAAGAAAGAGATAGACAAAAGAAATAAAACGAGAGAAAGTGACGGATGTAATAAATGATAAAATGAAAAATGAAGTAGATATAGAAAGAAAAATGGGATAGAAATGAGATGGAAAATAAAATGAAAGTACGATGATATTTAATAATAGGAAAATGATTCAAACTCCGAAAGTGTGTGCCGAATTCATTCCAAATCATTAAAATAATAATTTAAATTATAAAATATTAAATTAAATAATTGTTTTATAATAAATTTATTAAAAAATATTAATATTTTAAAGTTTCGAATGATATTTTGGACAATTATTTCGGAGGCTGAAGCATGACTCTTAATAATATGCCTAACTTTCCTATGTTCCAAATTTGAATAAACATTGGGTAACAAAGTAAAGCTAAGGATATGAAAAAAACCTAAGTTCCTGGCACGTGTCCTCCTTCACACGTCAAGATCTTATTTATGGATCTTTATTTAAAACATCTGTTATCTTCCTTATGTAATGCCAACTCTGAAGTCAAGTAATATGCTAAAGAAACATACTTAAAGATAAGAGAGTTCCACTCTAAACAAAGACACCATATTATAAAATTGATTGCGCATCGCCAGAAAAAGATAGCCTCTCGACTTTCTACCAAAACATGATGCATAAGAATTATAATTTCAATTTTCTCATAATAGAAATATCATCAGAATCTTAAAACTTGAGTTCGGATTACATACGTTCAGAAAATAAATATAATTCCGAGCTCAATGCAAAATGTGTATGATCTAGATTTTGTAAAACTATATCTACAAAATTGTTGCCATAGGTTTAACGTTGAATATGTACAAATAATTATTATTTTTTATTAAGTTGCAATTATATAAGAGTGGAAGGGGGTTAACGAAGCAAAGGAGTGGTTTGCAATTGATGGAAATATTGTAATACACAGGGTGTACTGAATAATTCCTGCAACTGTAACAACATACAATTGCTAGACACTAGAATAAGATATACAGCAGCAGCAGCATTAAACTTCAAAACAATTGTAGATTTACCACAAACAGAGACAATTTATAATAGACGAAACCACTCAAAATGAGAGGAACTGGAACCGTTGATGATAAAGGAAAGTGACAACCATGGGAGAGATGGCTATTTGTTGTTCAAACCATCAAGAAGCATGTTCATGACTTTGAAGCCTCTCAACAACTTGACTCATGCTGGGTCTTGCATCTTTCTCTTCCTCTACACAATCCAAAGCCACTGTAGCTAAAATCTCCATTTCATTCACGTCATAGTTTGATCTCAAAGCAGGGTCAATAATTTGACCCACCCAAGATGATCCCACTTCTGATCCTTTTCTCCTTTTCTCCCTCACCCATGTCACCAACCTCTCATGATGAGGTGAGTCTGCTTCTAATTCTGTGATTTGGACACCTGTTGTTGGGCTCCTTCCAGTTATCATCTCCAAGATAACAATTCCATAGCTGTAAACATCCACCTTGGAAGTGATTGGCAAGTTAAAAACCCACTCTGGTGCCATGTAACCTCTTGTTCCTCTTATCCTTGAGAAGGTTGAATTGTCGAGGTTGTTCCGGTTAAGTAGTTTAGACAAACCAAAATCAGCTACCTTGGGCTGGTACTCGGAGTCAAGAAGTATATTTTGGGGCTTAATATCACAATGCAAAATCCACTCCAAGCATTCTTCATGCAAGTAGGCCAGACCCCTTGCTGTTCCAAGAGCAATTTCATACCTCCTTTTCCAGTCAAGTACATTTGCATTCGATGAGAGGTTCTGAGCTAAAGAACCATTCTCCATGTACTCATAAACCAACAACCTATACTTTCCCTCTGCACAATAACCCAACATGCCAATTAAGTTCATGTGGTTAAGCCTTCCAATGATGCTTACTTCAGCCAGGAACTCACTTTGTCCTTGGTTCACTACTTCATGTAGTCGCTTTATTGCCACAACTCGATTATCTGACAACACACCCTTATACACAGTACCTCCGGCACCCCTTCCAATCTCTTCGCTGAAACCTTTGGTGGCTTTTTTCAGTTCAGAGTAACTGAATTTCCTAAACCCCGTTTCTGCTGCAAGAACATAGCCTTGTTTATCAGCATTATTCCTAAACAAGAAACACCACACCAGAAAGATGCACACGACCTCAATTCCTCCCAAGCCACTCGCAAACCACAGCATGAACTTCACCGACCCATTTTCTTTTTCTTCCACGTACGGCCTCTCTAGTACTTCTGCTCCTCCATTGTTTGCCTCACAAACCAAGCCATTCTCGATGTGGTTCTCATAGTCATGGGACAAAGGCAGTCGCAGGAGGAATGCTCCTGTGAAACCCGGTGAATGATGCCCATTTAGCAACTGTCTCTTCAGGTAGCACTGACTAGTGCTGTCACTTTGCCCCGAAAAGCTGTGTGAAAACCCTTTGCATTCACATAAACCCAAACACAAATTCTCGCATTGTTCGTATGTGTGATTTGGAAAGTAGCCATAGTCATATCCATAAAAATCAAATTCGGGTAAGCGCAGGAAGCGAGACTCTTGCTGAGTGTCGTTGCACCAAAGCTGGAATTTCGATACACAACCTTGAGACCAGTCTTGACTATCAACCCATCTATATCCTGTTTCCATAAATTTCTCGTTAACTAAAAGGAGAAAATAAATACTAATTTCTATAGAGGTTTAAACAAGAAAGTGTCTTTTCTCAGCAGGTATTTTTCTACATACACAACTCTAGTCTTCCCTTGACTACACATCCAACAGGCAAGGTTATCTTTCAATTATGTAACACCATATAAGTTCTCATACAAGTTAAACACATAAACCACAACCTATAAAGCACAAACACATTGATAGAACCTCGTATCAATGTGTTTCACATATTTTGGACACAATACTTGTCAAACACGTTTAGACACACGACTGACAACTATCCATCGTGTCGCAATTAAATTTCTTTTCTGTTTGGACACTTCTCTAATACACCTTGAACACCTTTCCAACACACCCGGAACACAAACTAAGAAACTGAAGTAAATCGACACTTCTCAGTTAAACACTTATCTAACACTCTTATTATAAAATAAAAAAATAAAAAATTCAATTAATTTATAAATATTACAACACCTGTAACATCTTTTGTGAGACTCGTTCTAATAAAAATTATCACTTGTTTTAACTTATATAGTCCATTTTACAAAAGCCATCATCATATAAAAATTATTTATATATAAATGTTGTCCCATGTCTCATATTTTGGACATTAGTTCCATGTCGGGGAGTTGGTGTTTCATAAACTACAATCAGCTATTAGAGAAGTTAAAACTCGGTAGTAAAGCATATAATAAGTCAATTTCAACCTAATGAAAGAAGCTTAAAGAGCAAAAAAAACATTTTTTTTCCTTCCGAAATCTTCTCCACTATTTTCCTCAAATACCTGGAAGGCACGAACACTTTCTCTCCGAATTTGGGCGAGCGCTGCAATAACTATTGGGTCCACAAATCCCGTGAATGAAACAAGGCTGCGAGCGAAACTGCGCCGACACGGACCACTTCTCCTCCCCCTCTCTCAAGCTATAGACGCGAACATTGCCGTCGTGATCGAGCGTCAACCGCCGCCGAAGCAGCGTCCCGCAATCAGCGGTTGTGATGGTGAAGTTGTCAGAAGAAACGACGTGGCCGAAGGAATCGAGCAGCACAACCCTAGTGTCGTTGTAGGTGGATCTGCCGTTCCCGACGAGGCCGAAGTTGTTGTTCTGGAGCCAGGCGTAGGGCCAGTAGACGCTGGAAACGCGAGGGCCCTGGTACATGAGGCGCAGAACATTCTCGAAGTCGAAGAAGAGCTTGTAGTAGCCGGAGGAGTAGTTCGACCCGCTTCTCGACGAAACCAGCGCGGTGCTCTTGCTCAGAGGCTGGTTCGGGAGGAGCGTGTCCGTGGGGAAGTCGAAGCTCTGCCAGAGAATCTTAATCTTTCCTCCGTCGCCGTGGTCGAGGAGTACGAGGTTGCCGGTGTCGTGCAGGTGAAGCTTCACCTGTCTGGATGCGGCGGCGGTGTTGGTGGACCACACTTGGAACTGGGCGGCGTCGGTGAGGACGAGGTTGCCGGTCTTGGAGAGAGAGAGGGTGGAGCGTCTACCGTTTACCGGGTGGTCCCGGTTGGCGATCCAGACGAGGGTGTGGGGCGGGCGCGTGTAGCGTATGGCGAAGCAGAAGGCGTTTTCCCCGACGGGGTGGAACGCTGCGGTGAATGTGGGTTCGGGAGACGAGAGAATCACGTCTTGGGGATTCTCGACGGAGAGTGAGAAGGAAAAGGAGTGGTGAGGATTTTGGAGGATTAAGGAGAAGAGAAGAGGAAGTAGGAGTAGTGTTGATGAGGCCATTCGCATGTTAATGCTATGCTCTACGGAATTGTCATGATAGGTATATAAAAATATATATTAAAGGAGGAGGTGATGAACAATTCAACATGCGACATCGGTGATTAATGGGGATGAACCATGATGGTGACTGCTGTCTTCAATCATCCTTTAGGAAGTTTCTGCGTACCAAATATTCACATTTCTAAAATGGATAATTTAACACTGTGTTTGGAATAATAGAAAAGTACGAGAGTGGAAAGAAAAGGAATGGAAACTGGAAAGGAGAAAGAAGGATATTATTTTTTTTGTCAAATGTTATTTTTCTTTAGAAATAATTATCGATATGTCCCACATTTTTGCACGTTGAGAAATCGGATACGGGGAATGATCTTCTGCTCAACATATTTTTTTTATTTAATTTTTTTAATTTAAAAATAATTTTTATAAATATATTTTTGCAAATATATATTTTAAAATGAGTAAAATACAATTAAATTTAAATAAAATATTTCTTCTTTTTTTATTCTATAATAATTGCCATTTTAAATTGTTTTATATAGATTAAAAAAAGCTAATAAATACATAAAAGAGAATTATATTTCTTAAAATTTAATTTTATAATAAATTTTCTTTATTAAAAATTATACAATACAATAACCATCTTTTACATAATACTATTAGGGTACAAATCAAAAGGAAGAAGAAAAAAAAATAATTAAAACTACATTGAAAAACTAATATAACACTTATTTTTGGACAATTTTTTTCCTTCTAATAATATGACACTTATTATAGGATGAGAGAAATAAATTATAAAGAAGTAATTACATAACAAATTTATTAAATTATTCAATCTATATATTTTAAAAAATATTAAAGTTAATTTTTGTGAAATTTGATTAATGTGTGAGATTTTTTTGTTCGAAAAATGATTCATGCCTATAGTCTTCATGTCATGAATCAAATTGTATAATTTTCACGTCTTAAATTGGTGTAAAAAGGACTTCAAAAATAATTTTCAAAATTGATAAAATTAGTATTTTTTTTTACTTAATTTAGTCCTTTAAGCTTATTATAAGGATTACACTGTACAAATAGATGGCTGAGAAATTGCATTGTATAAATGAATGAATGCAAAATCTCACATCCTACAAATTAACATTTGAGATCACACTTACAAATCAACACGTTAGAGAACTTTACAAAGATTTCTCTTTTGTGACAAGATAAAGGAGCATTTGAAAAAAATCATTATTTTTACTTAGTTAGGTCTTTTAAGTTTATCCCAATAGTCACACCATACAAATTAATCAACACTGAGATCAAACCATGTATACTACTTCATTTCAATTACTGTTTTGACAAAAATGAATGGTTGAAATATAACTCAGATGAATGATGTCATCATTAAAAAATGTAAAGAAACTCTAAAGGTTGCATAAAATCTATTTGTACACATATTGAGATAGATCTTAGAAAAAAAAACGCTAACTCAAAAGATGTGATTATTTTTGAACTACAAGACATAAAAAAATTGCACAACTTCAATAATAATAATAATATATGTTTTTAAATATGTTTTATATTTAAATAGTTAAAAAATCATGTGTATATATATTACATTTTATAAATTAACTTTTAAATTAAAAGAACAGGAAAAAAATTCCAAGTCAAGCCTCCCATGCCCAGCTTCTCAATGTAGACCAAAAGTGTGGCTTGTTGAAAAATATTTATTAGGGAGTGACATTTTAAAGCTTAAAACAAAGAGAAATAAAAAGAAATGATAAGATTTATATTTTTTTTTCTCCTCAATTTGAAAAGAAAGAAAATAAGATAAAAAAATTTAAAGAAAGTTAAAAATATTTTTATTTATTATATTTTTAATTTACATATTTCTATCATTTTATATATACATTTTTTTTCTTATGTTTTATTTTTTAATGCAAATAAAAAATCTAAAAAATAATTTCCTTTTACTCTTTTTCTTTTATTTTATTTTCTTTTATGTATCTTTCTTTTTTAAACTAAATAATTATTGTAACAGCCCAATTTTCACTGGGCCAAAAGCTCAATTAAGGTGGTTTAGTAGCCCGGAACGGGCCGTTCCAAAATTGGAACGAGCCGTTCCAAATTACTAAATAGACCTACTTTTGGGAGCCCGAAACGGGCCGTTCCAAACCATAAAATTTGTCTATGATTCTTACTTGGGAACGGGCCGTTCCCAACTAGAACGGGCCGTTCCGGATTTCATAAATGGCCTTTGAACCTTATTTGAGAACGGGCCGTTCCAAAATATGACCGTTGAGAGTTTTAATGCGAACCCCAGAACGGGCCGTTCTGGTTTGAGAACGGGCAGTTCTGGATGTGAATTTTACCCATGACGTGAGATTTCAGAACGAGCCGTTCCGGATTTGAAACAGGCCGTTCCGCGAATCCTGATGCCTATTAATTGAGTGCTCTGACACTCCTAAAATCATATTTTTTCAGTTCTGACTTCTTTCTTCTACATTCTCTTCTTTCCCTTCTACACTCTCTGAAGATTGAGGGACACTTAGAGGAGGAGACCAAGAGATCTCTGTTTTGGTTTCAACTGCTGTTTATCCAGGTACGGGGGAAAAGAGAATTATTTATATGTAGAGTTACATGAGAGAATTGGGTAGAGGAAGAGTCCCTTAAGATTATGAGTAATTTTATAATTATTTTTGTTTGGAGAATTATTGCTTTTATGTGATTCTGTATGAATTTAGGATTATGAATATATATTTTATTTGTAAAAATGATGCTCTGGGAGAGAGAACGAAATTATAGAAAAGTGTCTGTAAGTTAGGTTTTGGAAAAATTGGATTGTTTCTGATGGAAGAGCATGGGCTAAAGGCCCAACCACTAGAGCTATGGCCAGGAGATTACTTGAAGACTTGTCTGCTTCAGAGCTTAGTGGGCCCAATGGGCTTGGTGGGCCTAGGGTGCTTCTCACTTGGATCTTACTTGAATAAACACCATGTTTTATTGCATTTTCTTAGCATAGGAAGTTACTTTGATTGTTGGTCTTGTATTTTGACCATAGATTAGGGTTTATGCTTTTGGGCTTGTATTTGGGCTTCTTAGGCTTTGGGCTTTTGATACCCAATATTAGGCTCATTCTTCTTCTTGTAATTTTTCCTATTCATTGTATTTCTTTGACCAATGTATTTCGGTCATTAGATTAGGTTTATATGAAGTATACATTAATAGGTGCATTAGGATTCATTTTTATGTCATTTAGAAGTAATTTGATTTGAATTTGAGTCACATGGATTGCATGGTGAGGATCCGGCCATGTGAGCTCTAAATTCACATCAAATAACTTCCAAATGACATTAGGATGAAGGTACCATCCGGATTAGTCACTTGGCTGGCCAAAGTTTGAATTTCAAATTCAAATTTGAAATTCAAACTTGGCGCCAACTAAGCTTACACGGATTGGCGCCACTTAACCTAATTTTCCCACCTATAAATGTGTAACTCTTACCTTGTATTTGCACTTTTGAATATATTGAATTTCTGAGTGAAATCTTCAGCAATTCTTCAAGAGTCACGGAGTTGAGAGAGAGCAAGAGAGAGTGCCTTCAAACACCTTAGGAAACCCTAGTTCCTTCCCTTTGAAGTGAGCAATCTCTTGATTGCTTGAGCTTGGATACTTCCTTTTAAGGCTTAGGCCTTCCAATCCGCGAGTTCTCCTCCTTCTAAAGTGTTCATCACTTCGGTCATTTCTCCTTTGAAGAAGATTCGTGCCTAGGAGAAGCTAAGGAGAGGTTCATTCATCACTTCTTCCACCTCCTCCATCAGTTTCTTTTTGAGAAATTGATAATCTGATTAGATTCTGTATGTGTTGAGGATTAGAAATATATATTTAATTTGTAAGAATGATGATCTAAGAGGGAGAAAGAAACTGTAGAAAAGTGTCTGTGAGCTAGGTTTTGGAACAATTGGGGGTTTTACCGTTATGTTGAAATTATATTAAATTGGTAATTCCGTTGAGTATTATATTAATTTATGAATGTTATTGTTATATTACTTGATAAAAATTGATGATTTATATGTGAATTGCTTGATGTGTATGAAACCCATTATTTTGGACTTGTTTGATGTGTGTATGGTATTGAGCTATGAGATGAGATGTTGTATGGATGTGATTATGATTGTGGTTCCTCACATCAATGACCAGGGATGGCATGGCCCCTGGGTAAGTGATGCTACAGGGAGGGCATGACCCTGGCATGGTGTGGGATGAGTGAGACAATTGACACGTATCACTTATGTCAAATATGGCAGCCCTGACATAGAGTTAATTGTAAAAGATTGTGTGGATTGTGATGTGATTGTGGTTCCTCACATCAATGACCAGGGATGGCACGACCCCTGGGCGTAAGTGATGCTACAGGGAGGGCGTGACCCTGGCGTGGTGTGGGATGAGTGAGGCAATTAACCCGTATCACTTATATCAGTTGTGGCGTGGCCTTGTCATAGTGTTAATTGTAAGATTTGTGTGGATTGTGATGGATTGATGTAATTGAGATGTGAAGATGATGAATGATTGATAAATTATGATATATATAAATGCTTGTGAATATTCCATTCAGTAAGGAATTATGGTGGATTATGTTGTGTTTTTCCTTGTGTGCTTTCCATATAGATGTTTTCTTTTCTTACCGTATAATTTGTGGATGTTTTAGGTGAGGAAGATCCGGCTTTGAGTGGCATCTAGAATGTCAACCATTGAGTTATGGGTGTGCTCTGATATTGTGACATCGGGGCAGAGGATTCTAGGATAAATTTTTATATGTATCTAGAGTTATACCTTCTCTTTTGAAAACAATTTGTAAACTCTCAAGTTTTACTTTCTAAATTTTATTTTTAATTATTTTGGTTATTTATGAAGGTTTTATGTGAACCCTTTTTACCATTGTTGAATATTTTATTCTTTAGCTAATTACAAGATTTATTTAAATATGTGTTGGGGTAGTAAGGGTGTCACAATTATCATCATGTCATGATGTCACTATTAAAATCTTACTTTACTTACTCAAAGAGATCTTTTGACATTAGAGTAGAAAAAATTCTAGTAAGCATCTATTAGTCCTCAACTCGACAAGTACAATCTTAAATCAAACTGAATATTACTAAGCTTCAACTCATTAAGTGAACAATGATGTCTGATGTAAGGATCTTAGCATGTTATTGACCAGTGGTAAGGAGTTTGGTTAGTATGCACATGATTATGAATTTGAATACTAGTGTCGTCATTGTAATTTTGATAGATTTAAAAGAAAAATAGACTATAGTGTTGTCATTATAATTTTAATGGATAA